TTATTGACACAGGTGATTATTCACAACTTGTTTTATCAATTTTTTGTCGGATGGGTTTTGTTGGACATCGAAGAACACAGCGATATGACTACATTTGCCACAACGCCATAAGGACATGACAGTTAAAACACTTGTCAATCAAATGGGTAACATAAGGTTTCATGATTGATCTATATTCACAACATGATCGTTTCTTATATATGAAAGTGGGGAAAAATAGGATCAGGCAGGTTTGTAAATTTGTTACATTTACTTTTTTAAAATAATTTTTTAATTTTTTTTACAGCAATGGATATAACATAATCAGTTAGAAATACATTCTTAATTGTTCTTCAATGATGATAAAGGTATTACGAATTACAAATTTAAACACATAATTCATACCTGAAAGGTAAAAAGAGCGTATTAATAATGGTGCATTTCAGCACAAAAATGAAAGAACATAACTTCAAAACAATTAATGGTTTATATGGTTTGAACTATGTTATATACTATATCTGGTATTTTGAACGAATGAAGACAGTGTAGGCAAAAAGTAAACTGCCATAGATTGAAGCAACTACAGTTTTTCTCATTCACGAAGAATGCAAATGATTTCTACCTCAGCGAAGGCCTATAATTTACCCAAGCCCTTAAAATCTCTGCGTGGGAGGTTGTGTTGATTATTTTCCAATAACCGCTTCTTCTCATAGCTCAGTCAGAAGAGGTGTCTACATTCCAAGTATGCGATAAATCGTCTGGTGAAAGTAAGTGTTCACCGGATGTGTCCAAAAAAGCGGAAACAAAGTTGATTAGCGCTGGATTCGACATCCAATTGAGCTTTCCATTGTTTTGGATCCGATATAAACCCGTGGAATACATGATAGGCCTGGTGCCCTTAACAGTAATAGCTCATGATATCAGTTTATATAATTGCTGAAAAGTACACTGTTTATTGAACCTTGCTGTCTTCCAGAACGACATACGTCACTAGATTTACTGATAGGAAAAGTAATTTGATAGCGTTGTAGCAGCAGTCATTATTGATCAGGCATTCACATGACAATACTTCTCAATGCCGTTTATCAGATACCATTCAGAGCGCGTTGAGTACCAATTGAAAGGAATCCTCTTGTAACGAGTTTAGTGTGGTCATTGGTCAAATTGCTTCGAAAGGTTATTTCATAAAGTTAATGGTATTATATCTCGTTGAGGATGAAACAAATGAATAGACAGTTGGCAAAGATGAACATTAATCAAATGACCTGTCTCTTTATATACTACATTTAGATAATAAAACAGCACCGACTTCAAAAATTAATTAACAGTCTGCTACAAATGGTTTCCGTCAAGTATGAAATTGCATAATTGGCTATTCGTGACACATATTTAAGTTTTATTGCCTAGTTACGGCAGCAAAATGTTGATTTTCATAAGACACAGCTTCAGTTTTAATTGAGCAAATAAAAGCAACCAAACCCTTTTCATATTCATCAGAAACATCTGCCCAAAGAGTCGAATGTACATTTCCGACCATATCATGAGCCGTCCATGAATCACTATCAAATAGTGATGATACCAGGTGTTCGCGAAAAGGTGAGTGTATCCTGCCCCACCGGTGGCACCCGTCACAACCTATGCAAAGGCAAGTAATTTGTTCACCTGAACATAGACATTGGACCATATGGTACAAGACAAAATAGGGAAATGCATCGGACATCAGGTTTGTCACTGACGCGTCAAAATTGGAAATGTCCTCCACACAAGTATTCAGTGAACATTCCGCATTTCCCCTCTCATTATAAAGCATCCTGGGAATGACCCTTAATCTCAGCGTCATCTTTAAATGTTAATTAACCGTATGTAACGTATGTAGAGTGTGTGTTGGGCCAATTTAAAGATAACAAAACAATATGAAATATTAAATTGATGATGTGGCTAAAGATATGTGCACGTGTAAAAACTATAGTTTGTAGTAACGGAGATCCCCAACATCTTTTATTGCACATTGTTTTAAACTGGCTCACATGTTACAAAATAACTCTCGATATTGGTCGGGCACACTGTCTCATCATCGTATGTCATAGACCATTGGCATGATTTGATATGTTGAAATCTAACACACTATCTTGCCAGCTAATAGCATTAACAAGGGAGCAAGGACGTTGCGTCGGCTACAGCCGTTACACCAGCAACTATGTTCGTCATCCAAGGAGAGTCGTTACTCAACTGTTGGCGTGTTAAGTAGCAGAACTGGAAACATTGGACACTTGGTCCCGGGGAACGTTCTGAAACCAACATGTATCCTTTCGACCGTTTTTCAACAATTTTTTGTTGAGTTTTGCCTTCCATCTATCAAATCGATAGGACCCAAGTATATATTACACGTGCATGATAACATTATATATTTATTATACAAGGGTGGTCTAGGTAAACCCAACTTTACTCCGTTGCATATGTCTTGGATGCTTGCTGACAAATCCAGCCAGTCTCAATAACACTCTACACCTTTTACATGGTAATGCTATTATATGAAAGCAATGCTTGCTAGTTCTCTATGTTCGCTACAAGGTACAAATTAAAGGTTAGTTCGAATCTCCATCCCCGACAATAGTACTTGGTCTATCATGACCATTGTGTCATAGGTGGTGTTTGTGGAAGGATGTTGCTCGGGATTTAAATACGTTCCCAGGGAGTGAGCACTGTCCATGCCAAACCTGAAGTTGTTATAAAGCAGCTGACATTTTCTCGCTGGACAGTAAACATATTTGATTTCATTTGGAGAATGGTTTAGGCCAGTCTATCGCCGTTTTAATTAATGTTTTGAACCAAATCTAATTTATATCATGCACCGAAGGGCGTCTGGACTATAACCTTTATATCATTTATGTATAAAACTCAGTTAAAACTTCAATATGTTTCACTATACTTTTGACGTGATAGAGAGTGTCGAAAACTAGGTGTAGATACAGATAAAGATATTAACGTCTTACATTTGTTTGCCTAACTCTACCTGACCAGCCCCATGAGAGATGCGTGTCCTGTCCGGTATGTGTTATCGGGTTGACCCATTGGAGTCTAAAGATAATGGAACGTGGTCGTTAGCTGTAATATATATTCACAATTTCCAATTTTTAATATGTGGCATTTAACGTAATAAAAAAATTGTCAAACTTTGTTGATTTCTCCCCATATTAATAGTGTCCCCGGGTCCTTCTAAAATTTCGTCCCGAAATTTCCATAAACAAAATAGAATCATAGATAGTTACATGATAAAAGATGGATGGGTAAAGTGAAATAGCTGGCAGTGTCGCTTCATGTTTAACAGAGACAACTGGCAACATGTACCAATGATGAGAACATATGCAGAAATAGGATTCAAACACCAAGCTGTACAGAGGGATAAGGCATACGATGAAGGTAAGGTGATGACTGCCTTACCTACAGAAACATCTGTGGTGTTGAGCACTGGCATATCAACATATAATCGAGGACGAATGCAACCTACTATTTGGAGATTAGTAATGTTCATTGGTGCTTCTATCTTGTTCTGAGTTCAACATTTGTTAAGTTAAGTAATTGGAATGAAAAAGCATCTTGAACCATTTGTTATTTCCAATAGACCAGTACAGGACTGTTAATATCAGAAATCTTCTGATGGCAACTCCCAATAGGAAGATTAAAATGAGAAGGGACTGCAATGTAAGGACAGTGACCATGGCATGTTTCAAGGTAAATCCCATTGACTGTAATGCCACAAGAGGGTTATTTCTTGATGAACATGACAATCAACAGCTATTAGAAACCTATTTTGTGGGTATCGCCATTATGAAAAGATGTGTTTTCTGCCAATAGTAAAACCTGGGAAGAGGTTTTACATTTTTACCAAAACCCTGGGATGAGGTTTTTGTAAATTTAGTAAAACGTCATCCCAGGGTCTTTGTAAAAAGGTAAGACCTCAATACCAGGTCGTGCCACTGAAAAAAACACATTCCCGATACACACTGATTTTTCATCACAGGGTCTTACTTTAAGGCACATACCCGGACTTCTGCACAAAGACAACAGAAAACAACATCCAGTAACATCCTTTAATGAAAGTTAAATGTAAAGTAGAGAGACCCTTTTGGGGATAGACCTTCCAGACTTGCCTCAGTCGTTGAGTCTACAGAGGTACCTGCCGAAGTACCTGCAGAAGTAGCTGTCTCAGTTGCGGAAGTAGTTGTCTCAGTCACTGAAGTTGGTGGCGCACAAGACACTGTCTCCGTCTTTTTAGGAATCTTCCTTCCGATAATGTCTGAAGCCTTGGACTTTAGATCGTCACTGGTGCGTTTGTAGATGCGGACAGCACTACTCCGGTGCCCTAAAAAATATTTGTTATCGTTAATTACAACAAAGTATACAACCGTACGTTCTAAACATCTATAAAGCATTAAGCCTCTTTGGAAAATATGGCTACATCAAAATACATTTTTATAGTAAAAATTAACCATTTCTATACGTTTGTTAAAGGCCTTTTAATTTTATTCACATATAATATTCGAAACAGTGATAATCATAAAATATTGATAAAGGACTGTCCTATACATTGAACTAAACTTACCAGTTTGTTCGCAAATCTGCTGCTCGCTTACTTCCGCTTCATACTGTCTGGTTGCAGCTGTCGCTCGCAGTGAGTGATTAGTTTTGTTCCCAGAAACACCTGCAGTTTGGCACAGACGCTTGACTGTACCTTGCAAAGTGTTATGACCAACTGGCTTTCCATATAAAACTTCCCCTCCTTCGACTTCTTTAGTGGCGTGTAATAAAAGGCATTACACCTGGAATCTGTAGGAGGGCTGAAATCATATTTTCAATAAGTATTACTTGTCATATTAGGAAACAATTTTTGCAGGATAGAATATAACATTTTGAATTCAGTTTGAAACACTAAGCTTTTGTGGTTAATTACTCAAATTTCCCGTGCTTACCACAACATTTTGTATTTCTCAAATAGCCTCACGTAGCATTGTCCTGGATTGTCAATGTTTTACGTAAGCCCGCACTTCTTTTCTCTCCAACTTGCGATCTCTAATACCCCCTGTATTAGTCTTGGAAACATCCTCTCTATACTTAAAATACCGTCTACCATTGTTGTCCACAAATGGTCCGGTAATCTGGGGGTTCTGATGCAAGCGCAGAGCTTGGTGTTCCTTGCCACCGCGTAGTGCAAAGTAGAGTCCTACGTTTATAATAAGAAATACGAATTTAAATTCACAATGTTATGTTTGCAGAAGCTGTTGTCAAAATGAATGCCTACTAACATTACACATGACAATGTTAAAAAAAGACCTGAAGATTGACAATTTAAGATTGTGAGACGATAGCATCAGTATTATAAAACGGATTACAGTTAGACTTATAATATGTGCATTTGACATAATCACCACAGAAGAAGGAAAACTGATTCTTACCTGTCAGATAAACTATGGTGTCCAAGAGTTGTTGTGGATTACTCTCTCCGAGACATCCCTTTTCCCAGAGACAGTTTTCTTCCTCCCTTGATATTGCTTCTGTATGCTTTCTTACGTCTGCTCCCAGACCTGCACTACTTCGTTCATGCATTACTGCGTCCAGAGATTTTCTAGCATCAGCAAAGGCATCATCTTGCATTAAATTAAACTTACTTCCTCCAAGTTTCAAAGATGAAGCTAACGCAGTATAAAGACCATGCATGGTGACCGAGGGATACATACTACCATCTGCCTTCCTAGCTTCAACCAAGAAGTATTTCAATGCCATATTCATATCACTTGCATCCATATTTTCGAAGTCATCTTTTAATGCACCAAGCGGTTTCATGAAATTTTCTGCAATGGAACGCTGACGCCTTTCCTCTTGCCACCTTCTAAATACGCCAACGGCCCAGTCGTTCTTGTATTTGGTCTTTTGGGGAACACATACGTCGAGTTTCTTCTGAAGTTCTTCTTCAGACAATGGAGATGCAAAACGAAAGTGAAAATCATCTGCGTCGTCACTGACATCCTTAGTTTCCACAAACTTTCTTTGAGTTAGAAATAGGTCTCCGCCTTCTTCCTCGCTCGACATCTCGAACTCAACTGAGAAAGACAACCACGTGTTCTTACCGCATGTATCGCACGTGCACGGTTCAGGTTCTTTCTATATGCTTATCCTGGCAATAGCGAGGTAGTAAATCCCTGTTATAGTGCCCTAAATGGGAGATAATTAAATTTGCAGTAATTCTAAACGTTTAATGGTTTCTAAGCCGGATAAAACACTCCTCCTCGGTTTTGGTAGAGACTGTTAAACCTCAGGAGTCGGGAAATCCCTCCTCCCGAGGTTTTACATTCTCTACCAAAACCTCCGAGTCGTGTTTTCTCCATTACGTAGATCTGATTCGTAAACAAGAACTGAAAATAACATAATCAGTTAGGTCTAAAATTTGGTAGGCATGAGGAGATGTTCTATTTATTGGGACAGGAAATGATTGGACCTAATAGATGGATAAAGGAGAAGAGGAGAATGCTGTCAGAGGAATCTTTACAGTAATATCTATTTTCAACCAATCCTGGGCAAAGAGGAAATTCCCATTTCTATAGTAAGAGGTGACGACTGTGTTAGTGACATGAAAATGAGAATATTGTTTGTTCAAGGTATGCTGGATTCGCCTCAGTGTATGGGCAAGCACTTTGAGTGGAACAAGATAGAGTGAAAGTCTACCATTTACTACTTCCTAGTGGGATGCCTGATGAAGTTGATCCAACTGATGTTCAAGGGTAGTAGAATGGGCAATTTGGCGAGCTAAAAGACGTAGCATTCGCAGATAATATTTTTTCATATTTGACTGTGATTGGAGCAAATCCTTTTCTAATAGCAGAATGTCATCATCGTTTGATTTGATGCCATTCAGCATATTTGAAAAACGATCGTCTTCAATGTGCATATAGGATGATAGATCGCGTCCATGTTGCTTAGTGTGAACCCCATTTCTGGTGTCCCCCGCCGTGATATTGCTGGAATATTGCTAAAAAGCAGCGTAAAACCAAACTCACTCACTCACTCACTCACCCATGTTGCTTACATACATTGGCCATTTCAGCCGTTTGTTTGCTTAGAGATGCCATATGACATCCGATTGTTCGTACATCATATCATCTACTGTTGCTGTTCCCAAAAGGGACCTTGCAAAGGATCCTATAAATCCAAAGAGTGCTCGCCTTGAGCGAAATGGTAGGATGGGTGTCTCAGGGATAAGATCATGAATTTGACCACATGTATGGTTGAGATAATGTGAGAACTGAGATTCAAAAGAAAACATTGGGGTGAAACCATGATGAACATAATGACATCTAGTCTTATTCGTCAAGCAGTGGTTTGTGAAGACTGGGAGATTAGTTTCAGGGAGAGGAATCCGAAGTACGGAGTCTTCAGGGGGTAGTGAAGAAGCAAGCAACAGTTGGAAAATGATCACTATCAGGATACTGGGGCTGTTAGTGACCTTTGAGTTTAGGTATCCTTAGGTATCATTAATCCTTGTTAATAATTTGATTTGGAGATATTTATAGGGGCGTTTCCGTGTCTTACCTTTCATCGTGAAGCGGTTCATGAAAGGCTCCCTTAGAGTCGTCAGTCACATTTTCAGTGGGTTTCCAGGAGGGCTCCGAGTAACAAAATTACTAAATAGTAACGTTCACCCTGTTGCATGCGTTGACAAAGTAGCTTGTCAAGTGGGTAGTAAAGGTCACTTACCTTGGGTATCTGTTGTTCACGAACCAATTCCGATGTCTGAGGGAGTGTTGAATTGGTCATGGTTGTTTCAGAGTGTTCCTCTGATTGTGACCTGATCATGTCATCTTTCAAGCCATCTTGCTGTTGGTCACCTACCTTGGATACCTGCATCTCAAAATCCTTGGTTGTGGTCTAAGAGAGTAAAGGATTGTTGAAAATTGTTCTGTCCTCTGACTGTTAAGTAGCCATGACGTCTTCCAAGACGCCCTGTTGATTATCAGGGTCAATATTCACTTATGTACCAGGTCGACCCTGGACATTGATTGGCTCATTAAAGGGTTTTAACCTGTTTGCATCAGTGCATAATGGAAGCTCTTTCAATGTTTCTCTATTGTGCAGCTGATAAGTGTCATTGGAACACTTTCTGCTAATGAGGTATGGACCTTTGTAATTATTATTAATTTATGTGACCTTTTTGTTATCCAATCACCTTCATCCCATTCGGTCACAACCAGTCTTTTGAACATGCACAAGGCATTGAGCCAAAATGTTGTGGAGAGGACACTTGTTGATTGTAGTCATTTCAGTTATCGGTACATCGGAAAAGTCAAAGGTGAAGTTCAGCTACCATCCATAACGCGTCCCCTGTTGGAATTGATAGGGGCCTGAAATATCCTGCTCATGGAAGAGACGAGTATGCGAATCACATCCTGGGGAATTGTAGCCCACTCTGCCTGCAACGCAAAAGCCAAATGCAGCAACATCTGGGGTTATGGTTGACGTCAGCGTAGAATTATATCCAATTCATCCCACAGGTGTTCTATTGAGTTCAAATCCGGGGATCTTGAGCGCCGGGGAGAAAATCAATTGTGTTGTTGTGTAAACTAGCTCTTGTGATCCGTGTTGTATGCAGTCAAAATGACTCGTCGAACAGGACCTCTTGCTCGTAGACCTGCAGCTCTTAAATGCTTTCGTATGGTCTGGTCGGAGATTCTGCACAGTCCGGGTATTTAGGATGCAGTTGAGGTGGCTGTGGTTGTCCTTTCACGTGGGTGGCACAGTCTAATGTTGCGATCTTGGGCCGGGTGGTTACTCTTGGTCGTCCCGACCTTGGCTGATCACATGTTGACCCATGCTGTTAAAACCGATTCCATAGCCTTGTGATGGTGCTGGGCGCTACATTAAAAACCCTGGCTACAGCTGATCGGGATTCCCCTGCCTGCAAGTGGCCTATGACGTTGCTTCTTTGCACTTCTGTTATTCTTGGCATATTGTGGAACTGTCACTGTTCGATTGTCGCAGATGCCAGGCAATAAAAAACCCTGCACTATAATACCGTTCATAGTGCACCTGCACGTGCAGTGCGTGCAGCTCTATGGCCCTTATGTTAATGCACTGGGCGCGTTTTCCCGAATCGTACGTGTTTACCGACTGATGGTTTGCATGTCCTGGTTATCATTTTGATCCGGGAAATTTGTCACTGACACTATAACACATTAAACCACTTCATTTTGCACCTTTCGATCCGCTAATTGTACTTTTATGGCCAAAAATATCCGTATTGCGTTTCTTTTTTAAGGTAATTTTGCTCGAGCATGGGAATCACCAATTGCATCAAATGCATCCTCCAGGCGAGGCAAAGGATAGGAAACCGGAACTGTAATATTGTTCAAAGATCTGTAATCTATGGCAAAACAGAACCCACCTGATTTCTTCTTGACTAAGACAACGGGGCTCTGCCATGGTGATGTGGAGGGTTCAATGAACCCAAGGTCTAGAAGTTCCTTGGTCTGTCGATCGGTTTCAGCTTTGCCTTCAGAGCTCCTCCATTAAAAAGAAGATGTACAGATTTGGAGCCAGGCACTGTTTCTATCCGATGTGAAAATAGGTTAGTAACACCAAGTTCAGTCTTATCAACAGCGAATACATCAGTGTTTGCTTTAAGAAGTCTAGATAAAACAGATTTCTGACCATCGCTCAGTTAGGCTTTGCGAAGATCAAAGTTTAGGCTTGAAGACTTACCTCGAGATGTTGCAGGAGTGGTTCTGTCCTCGAAGGTTTGTATGAAGGCTATATCAACTGGCTAGAACAACTAGTTCGTTGGTTGGATTTAAAAGGGTGAAGCAGGCCCTACCTTTTTTGGACTTCACAAGACATTTAGCACGTGCCAATTTGTAAATGGTTAATTGAGGGACTGGTGCAAATAGAAAGGCACAAGATTGACCTTTGTGATAATTTAAACTAACAGGAATGGTGACTTCCATGTTAGGAGGTATGGAGACTAGTAGACGAAGAGGTACCATAACTAGACCATGATGGGGGGCAAGGGTATGAGTGCTATAGTCTGTTACAGCTTTTCAGATTAAGGAAATCTTGACCTTGGATGATTGAATGTTGCACAGATTTGAGCACTAAAAAGTCATGATTGACGGCGATACCACCAAGGGAGAGGGAGATCGTAACTGATCCAAGTACTTTAATGTGTTCTCCCCCAACACCGCTAACATCAGACAGTGTACTCGCCTGCATCTGTGATAGGGGAATACTGCCTTTCTCAATTTGGAGAGAGATAAAAATGACAGGTTGGCACGACATGTCTGAAAGATGAGTGCAGAGAAGTTTACAAGCGAGCATGTGAAGTCTGATGATTTAGGTGAGCATGCTAGCCCTGGGCTCAAACATTATTATAGACTATATCATGAGTATATGTTTTAGAAACCAAGAGGTTGATCTGGAATTCCAATCACCTCATGTATGTCACAGCTGGAAACCCCGTCATCTTTGTGTGTGAGAAGTTTGATAAGGCATTCTGCTTTATCGTGTATTTGTTGCTGCTTTGTTTAAGTGCTTAGTAAAGTTCCGTACTGATGATGTTGAACTTCTTTTACCACAAGAGCAATTTCCCCCAAAGCTGTACAGTGTCATTTTCAATGGGCTATGAGAAAGCATTTTCAGATATCCGTGTTACGATATTGATCCCTCGAACCAATCAGTGCTGTGTACAGAAATAGAATCCCAGTGTCAGTGTCAATCTTTGTAGTGGACCTATCACTGACATTCAAACAACAGAAATGTTCATTTTAGTCATTCAGAGCATTGTATTTCTTATATGCACTTGACCAAGTTCAGAATCCATCAAACTGAAGTGGAGCTATTGACGTTGATTGGGTAGAACAATATGCATGCTTGAAACTACTCAGAGGAATATATCATTACATCGAGAGACTAGGAAAAGCAATCACATGATCCCAAGATCACCGTGATCACTTTACTGTTGTTTACTCACGGAAGCAGTTGAGACATTTCCAAAGTATAGATGTGTCATCGTATAATTATCGGAGCATGTATTGTTGCTTTAG